CGGGGATTTTAGTCCCTTGATCATAGCATTGAGCACCAATGGCGACCAAACGCGCTGTAGGATATTGCGATCGGTTGCGTAAACCCACAGATTCCTAGGCAACGATACAAGAAATCAAACTCAATTGCAAAATATACTACGTTGGAACGAGCTGGTCTGAGCTTCCGACTCAAAGACCAATTGAAAGCTAGGATACAAGGCCCACCCTGAGTGCAATCGGCGTTAACCGCTGGAAGCAAAAAAAGAAAGTATTTTACAGAAGCTGGTGCAACCCCAGTATTATTGAGATATCGGCTTGCTCTGTGTTGGACGCGTATTACTAGCTAACATGTTGGTGGCGTTAGACTCGGCCTAATTCCACAAAAGTGTACGTGCGGTGGTGAGGGCTCGTTCACTAGCTCTATTATGTGTTCTAAACTACTAGTAATAGTATTCTTCTTCATCAATTCGTATTTACCCATTGCTAACATGTTGCCATCCTTATGCCGAACTGACTGGTCTCAGTCTGTTGTACGCTAGACAGGAAGGCTTATAAAACAAAGCCAGCTTTGAGTTAGACCCCAGGATTAAGGCTACCGGTAAGAACAAGTGCTGCACAGTACACATTTCATGTTCACAGCAAAACCATGACCGAAATCGTAAAATCAATTATAAGATGAAAGCCAAGGGCAAGTTGCAAGAAAACACCTGCTCTATCGTGATGTCTAGTTAAGCTTCTTTCTCATTCTTCACCGCACGCGTCCTCCTTTCAGGAGTTTGGACGAGCCTTTCAGGCAGTTTTGCCGTTGAAAGTCTTCCAATACAAATCGAAATATTGCTTCAAGTGGGTAGCTTCCTCGTTAGATAGCTTCTTGAATGTGGGGTGTTCTGCTAGGTTTTGCGGAGTGATTCCCTTTCTCTCCATGTTTTCCAGCAGGGGCAATACGTCGTCCCAAAGTTTGGTGAGGACTTCTTCTGATTCCTCTACGGTTTTGCCTTTGAGCATCTGCGCTGCCTTGACGTCCATCTCATCAGCCTTGTTTAAAAAGGCCTTCAGTTTGGCCATATTCTCCGACAGCCAGGTCCCAATGTTTGCTCTCTCTTCGCTGTCTGCGTATCCATTGAGTTGGCTATCATGCTTTCTCAAACGTCGGTGGACATTGATATTGGCCTGAGCGGCAGCAGACGAGTGTTCAAGCTTGATGGAAGCGGTCTTGGAGAGATCGGTCGTGGCAGCACCGCTCACGCTAGCGAGGGCAGCGACTGAAACAGTCAGCAGGATGGTACTCAGCCGCATAATAGGTCGTAAACAGCGAAGATATGGGGCTCGACGCGGAAATTGGAGAATGAACCTGAAGATGATGACTTACTGGCCAACTGAACGCTCACATCTCGAATTGAATCCTGTCCAAGGTCCATGCAAAATGCAACACATCGTCATGTGGGCTTCTTTGCAAGCGGGCGAACCTAACGTCCGGACGTGGTCCAGTTGTGCTGCACTCGTAGTACGAATACCAGTTGTCATCGAGTACTGTTTTTTTTCCCGCTAACCTGGCTTGATCTTTGAGTAGGAGCAGAAATCTGAGTACACTGTACTCAAAACTGCATAGAAAGGGCTTGGTGATGATATTGGTAACTAAACTTTAACTTAAATGAGTTATAGAGGTTTCAAAGTATTGATAATTGAGGATTGGTTCTTGCCATAGATGAGCCAATAAAAAAAATCCAGAAATTGGCCTCGGGAAACCCAGTAATAGACTGATTTCTTGCTGGGGCTTTCTTTTTGAGTTGTAGTACGTTATATTTGCTCAAAACACTGGAGAGTTTGGAAGCTCATACTTTAGTGCTATTCAGTCGATATACCGTTATCCTACTATGTAGCCATATCCAGTACGTAGACGAGATAAAACATACCGAGTCTAGTACACAGTGAAGGCTGCAA